CTTAACATGGACATTAAATAAATCAACAGTAGGTGGCGATATATGCTGCAAGTGGAGGCGATTCGCCATTAAAGCAAAGAAGAACTCTGCACAGTTGATCTCTTACGGCCCGTCCACACAGCGGCGTGCGTTGAAGCTTCAACGCTTCTGCCCATTCACTTTGAATGGGGTGACGTCACGCTTCACCAAACTGCATTGTGGGGAGCGTAGCTACGCGTTGCTCGCTGTTCATTTTGAAGCTTCGACGGAAGCGTCAGCCAATCAAATCCCGTTTATGAAAATCTACCAGTATAACTGCTAGCCAATCAAACCGCGTGTATGCTGCGAGCAGTGAACCACCCGGTGCTGTATGATCAGTCTCTGTTCACCTACCGGGATACAAACCGGAGGAGCCAGGCATGGAGGGAGGTGGCAGAGAAAGTGGGTGGAACTGGTAGGTTTCCGCCTGTTTGGGGAGTTTATATCCAGTGTACCTCGTCTGAACATTGAATGGACAGCTAGCAGGCATAGACGGTATATATAGCTAGCATGGAATGTTTTTTGCTTTGTATGTCGGGGGCGGGAGATTCATGTGATTGGTTGTTGCTCGCGTTGCTCGCGTTGACTCCCCAAGCTTCAGACACGCCCACGCCAAGCGTCAACGCACGCTGCTGTGTGGACGCTCCGTAACAGGTAACAGCCGTTGTGTATTTTATTTTGTGAAGCACTAAATGATTTTTAGAAAAATATGGACTGTTTGTTTGTAGATATCTACTAAACTAAAGCAAATACAGAGAGTAGGCCTGTTATACTGAGTGATATATATTATACACACTGCTCTGCTTTCTGCACGGACCTCACAGCTGTTCTCTCTGGAAACATCGCATCCAGGGGATGCATGCAGAGCTGTGATTGGCTGAGATAAGTCCGGCCGTGCGTCACGACTCTTTGAAACATCTCTGTTCCCTGAAATGCATCCACGAAGGAGCCGTGGAGGACCGTGGAGGACCCATCAGTGTATCCTCGGTTATAGCTCCTCCAGAGAGCCTCCTCGACGCTCGATCCTCGGTCCTCGAAGTACATTTAGAGAAATGAGATGTCCTTCAACATGGCGCGCTGAAATTCATTTCCGGGTCACTACCGGAGGACCGAGGAGTCGAGGAGTCGAGGAGGGGGATTTGATTAAATGAGAAAGGGCCAAGGAGTATTTGGCTGCACAGATCAACTGCATCACACTTTTATAAGCCTTCATTCCTGTTGTAAACAGTAGAAGTTGCACACAAGTTAGTCATTTATTCAGGAATCGTGGTGAATGCGGCAACGTCCACCCAGACGAAAGCATTTACATTTATACCACAGTATTTCCCTAAGATAACTTTGAGGTGAATATTTAGTTTGCATATTGCTTTTGTAGAGTTGATTTGAGCACGTGGCTCCATACGTTTTAAATAGTTAGTTAGCTTTTTTATCTTAATTGAGGTTTGATAATCACAATCTTTTCACCTGAAGTTTTATTTTGAAATTAGACACCGGAAATGCTTAATTTAACGTCATCTAGCTTGCCACTGTTGCTGGTGTGTGATCGGAGTGCGGCAGTATTGATGGCAGGGGGAGGGGCTGCGGTGAAGGAGCGCAGTGTTTGCAGGCAGTGCAGAGCAGGACATGAGGGAGAAGGGGAAACACAGTAGCCGCTCCGCCGGCTTCATTGACCGGCGTGTCATCGTCCACCGGTCCGCTGATCGAGGTGCTGCTCCGCTCTCTCTGCTGTTTCTCTGCTGTTTGTGCCCAGGCTTTGGGTCTCTGTTAAAGCCTCTGCTGCGCGCTGTGTGTCAGTGTTGTGAAAGGAGCTGCGTTTGGTTTTACAGGAGAGCTCCAGATATACCGCAAAGTGGCATTGCTGTTTATGGCATTTTTCTACAAAATTATTATTGTTTTACCTCTCTAACAGGCATGCATTGGCGCTGCTCAGTGTTCCAGCTTCATGTTGTTGTTGTGTCTCAGTCAAAATGAATAGACAAAGTTGCAGTGGGCTATGCAGTTGCAGTGAGTCTAGTATGTGGGTTTAAATAAATTATCCAAGGCCTCCTCTAAGAAACATAATATGATAAGTGAAAGAATGATGTCGGCAGTGTGGGCTTTTTTTTTTTCTTCTTGAGATGCCGCATCGCCTTTCTTTGCCTGGATTGGCTTTTTGAGATAACAGGAGGATTTTATGATTTCATCCCCTCCACCAGGTGAGGATGCGATGACCGGGGACACGGACAAATACCTGCGGCCTCAGGACCTCAAAGAGCTGGGGGACGACTCCCTGCCTCAGGAGGGCTACATGGGTTTCAGCATAGGAGCCCGCTCAGCCAGGTAAGCACCTGTCATTTATATTATTAAATTCACTGGTGTACTGGTGCAGTGCAGACAACTACTATTTCCAACTTGTCCTTAGAATATTGTGGCCAGATTATGTTTATATCTATTATCAATTCATGAGGTGGTTGTTCACCCTATGATGGCAATGCTTTGGTATGGATATTGTTTAGTCTATGTTGGACTGAAATAGACCATATAATGTACAGCCCCACCAACACACACACACTCAAACAAAAACAGAATAATGGAAATTGCTAGCGATAGCATCTGGAAAGTTGCCATGCAATGATTCAACCTGACAAAATGATTCAGCGTTTTGTGTGGCCTCATTCAAACCCATGCAAAGATTACAAATGGGCCATAGTGTAACACAAGAGATACGAGCTGTATCTGTGACAGTGATGCCTTTGATACCCTTGATGAACAGCTGCACGTCAGGATTCTCTACAGGCCCACCTAGCTACAGTTTCCAATAGTGGACAAAGTGTGTTGTGGAAAACTGGCAGGCTCCAGTGAAAGCACATCAGCAGCACACACAGGAGGAGTGTGTGTGGACGCAGTGTGTGTTGTTGCCTCGCTGACAGATGGCAGACGTACTGTGATGGTTGGATTGATAAAAACAACTACACTAACTGTGACAGGAAGCTGCTTCAAACAACAGGTCTCAGCAAATAAGGAAAATATTCCATGTAAACAATGATGAGCTTGGTGGGTAGTTTATTGGAAAGAGTTTTGAATTTAATGTGGGAGTTATTGTTTGCATAACATTGTTATTATTAAAGTGTAAAAAGGTCTGTGGCCACATTTGATGTCTGAAGTCATTTTCTCAGAATTACTGTTTGTTTACCTTTGTTAACAGTTTATTGGTATTTGAGGGTACTCCAGACAAAAGCTATTATTGTGAGAAATATTATTATCTCCATCTGCTACAGATTAGAGCGCCGTACAAAAACTGTTTACTTTTTCGTGTAATTGCGTTGTAGAATAGAAGTTGAGATGGTGCAGGGTTGTGTATTTAATGCTTTGAAACACTGTAATTATTGATCAATTAATGTTTGATGCTGAGCTACTTCTTTTCTTTTCCCTTACCTTTCTGTTTATGACATCGACATTGCATGGTTTGCTTTTTGACTGGGCTGCATACACACACACTAAAACCTATAATCGCTTGTGCCTAGTCGTTGAGTGCAACCATGCAAAAGTTCAGCTTCAATGTCATATGGGGGGAAAAGAAAGCCACATCCTGCTTGAATGTCTCCAAAATGCTTTGCTTTTCACACTTCTATTTTGATCTTCTCCTTGCACCGTGTCCCTCATTCTAGCCCTAGACTCAGGTAAGAAAAGAATAGTCGTTGTAGTAGTTCTAGACGCCATTAGCTGTGAATGTTGTCCCCCCCCCTCACCCTCTGTACTACTACATAAAACCGCTAACCCAAACCACAAGTCATTCATTGTGATTAGTGTCATCCAGTGTTGCTGTTTGTGGTATACCAGATTTGTTGTCGCCGTGACGTTTTGTATTTTAAGATTGTTGCTCATTTGATCTGATCACCATCCACCATATTTGATCATCTTCAAACTGAAAATGTATTTTTTCATGCAGGTTTGAAAAAAAGCTGGAAATTAGTTAATGAAAGCCACTCTTGTTTTGCAGAGTTTTTCAGTTTGAGTTGTGTGGACTCATTTTATAACTTTTCGATGTGGCTTGTTCTTAAGTGGCACTTTTGTAGTGCCACTTGGTGTAACTTCCAGGGATCAACACATCAGGTTGTTAATATCCACAACTTTTATCCAATTTAATTAACAATAATTGGACATTTATCTGGATGATTCTGGATGTGAAATCATGGTTTGCGGAGATGGAAACTTGATGAGATTTCTCTGGATTCTTTATTTAAGAATTTAGAAATCATCAAGGACAGACAGGCGGTCACACATACACAGATGCATCCGCGCACAAACACTTACCTAAACAAACAATGACTCAAACATTTGTCTCTTTAGGTCCACATAGACCTAGGATCATTTGTACATAAAAAGAGATGTGAGAAAGAAATGAAACATGTTTCTGGATAATGGAAAGTGTAGTTTACGGCAAGGCAGACTTATATATATAAAAAAAAAAGATGGACATTGATTAATTATTAATCCCTCGTGGGGAAATTGTTTCTCTGCATTTGACCCATCCTAGTGTTAGGAGCAGTGTGCTGCCATTTTGAACAGCGCCCGGGGAGCAGTGTAGGGAACGGTGCCTTGCTCAGGGACACCTCGGTAGCACTTGGTCTTGCCGGGACTTGAACTGGTGACCTTCCAGTTGCCAAGCCAACTCCCTATCGACCTCGCCACCACCGCCCAATTATCTACAGTTAAATGATGGGAGTGGTGTGGAAAGAGGGACAAAGGGGGACAGAGAAGGATGGGGTTAGAGGAATTCAGCGAAGTAGAGAAAAAGTCAAACAAGTCTTCCATTGAGTAAACCGTCAGATAACCAAAGAGCAACAAATCTGAAATGGAGACAGTAGAGAGAGGAAGAGATGATGGGACAGCTTTATGAAGAAGAAGTGCTGGGAGTTGGCATAACGTCCAGGAATAGATGACAGACGATAAAGAGGACAGCCAAAATAATGAACAGTGAGGCAGGAAATGGAAAAAACCTTGGATGTTTAGAGAAGAGGATAGACAGGATGAAATAGAGGATGAAGCTGTGAAGAACAAACAGAGTCTGGCTGACTGCTGAGGGGGGTGGGGGGGTTCGGGGGGGTAGCGCCATGCTGCCATGCCAGCGAGTCCATTCAGACCGTACAGAGTCGCTTGGTAACTTCGATGGTGGGGTAGGCAGGCTGTGCTGAATAAAGGGCTTCTCTCTGTGCTGAATAGTGTGCCCACTCAAACATGCTGAGCTCTGCATTTTATCCCCTCCTCGCTCCCCCCCTCTCCCCCACTCCACACACACACACACACACACACACACACACACACACACACACACACACACACACACACACACACACAGCACAGAGATGTCAGCTTTGTCACTGGCATTGTATCTCTTATAGTGCGCAACCATATAAAATATCATCGTGTATTATTTATACTGTTTGCCCATACCAGTGCGCAACATTTAACTCGCTGCTACGCCTTGATTAAATCCCCGTAGCAAAAACAGCACAAGACAAAAAAAAACCTGAAAGGAATCGGCACTGCATTGAGAGGATGCAAAAATAGGCACAAGTCGCCACACACAGCCGTACAGCAGACTGCAGCAAGACAGATAGAAGCAGACCAGCGTCCCTTTTATGTTTTTGCTGCTCAGAATCAGGTCTAGGTCAGCTGCTAATCTTAGACCAAAGAAATGTCAGTCCTCAAACACAAGTCAAATTTAGCTGATTCACTTTCAAGCAAACGTCATTTCTTTATACCGTCAAAACAAGGTTGGCACAAAGACGTCGACTAATCCATCATATTTCATACACGTTATATCCGTGTTCGTGTATCACATTAACCACACTCCTGTAGAAGTCTAAACAGCCGTCTGCTTTCTATAAGTCTGTTCCTATTTCCCTCTATCTCTAAATGCAAACAACACTGACCTCACATTTCCATCTCTGAACAACCTGCTGCAGTATCTTATCTTTGCTCAAACTGCGGGCTCTTCAGCCTCTCCCTCTCTATTTTCCACTTATGGACTCTCTCTGTCCAGCGAGTAAAACAACCTGGTTCCCTGGAGGTTGCATGTAGTAATGGATTCCTTGCTTTTTGTTTTGTGTCGTGTTCCCCTGCCCGTCACTTGTTGTTGCCCACGGCACCGGGTTGCGTGGTAACATGTAGCCTCCGCTCCTTCAGTTCGGATAGGTCCAACACACTCAACCGGAGCTCCTTCGCTCGGGACAGTATGATGATTGAAGAGATTCTGGCGCCAACAAAAGACACGGTAAGACCATTTATCGTCATATTTAGTGTTTTTATCTCCACACTCTGTCTCTTTTTAACCTTCTATACCCAGCCCAACCCAACTCTATGCTCACTGTTACTTCCTTGACATTTTCTACGTTTGTTTTTTAAGCTTTGATGCCTCTCTTCTCCCTAGGTGCATCTCTTATTTTCTTATTGTCAATGAGTTCTTAGGGAAAAAAACAGACTGTAGAATTAAAAGTAGGGTGGCGTTACTTCTCTTGCACAGAGGTCATAACAGAAGCAGTGTTGAGGACATGCTTCCTCTTGCCAAAGTGCTGAGGGAGAGCATATAGCACCTTGACGAAGAGTTTATTCAAACCTAAGGGCTTCAGGAGGCCCCTCTTTCCCTCCTCAGGGAAAACCGCTGTGTTTTGCAGAGCCTGTTTCATGCTTGTTTTGGTAGTCAGGAGCAAAAACAGAAACTGTAACCTCTTATAATAAACAATATTAGTAATATAACTCAAAATGTCCAATGAAATATTTTTCCCTTATGAAACTAGTTGAAAATATACAAACAGTCAAATTGTTGATTCTTTCGTGGTGGTCCGTTTAGGTGCCATGTGTACTATAATCTGCTACATTTGATAGATAAAGTTTCATTTGCCTGAATTGTAGGACCATATCATCCTCATGGAGAGCGGATTAGGTTTTATTAGATGGAAATTGGATCCTTTAGTGAAACAAAGCACCATAAAGTCATTTGTCTGGACCGCACGGTGCCCTCTGTGACGTCTGAACTGTCTCTCTTCTCCCCTTAGCTTCACAGTGTCTGTAATGACATTTCCTATTTGGTTGACCCACTCAATAAGGTATAAAGAGTTCATGGATGTCAGACTCATTCATCAGTTTACCATCTTTCATCCAGCTCTCATTGCTCTTGGGTTTTTGAGTTGTCTGTATATTTGTTTGTTTTGGGTCCATTCCACTCTCATTGTATTCCTTAGTGGGGGTCTGTGTTTAGTGAATGGTCATTCCCATGCTACTGTCAGTCTACATGAGCTCCCATGTTTCGATTTTCACATGAATAATGGTTATTATAACGCTGGTTGGGTAGTGACAAATTGTGTGTTATCAAGATGAGGATATGTGTGATAACCCAGATAACATTTAACAAAACGTTGGTTAAAGTTCCACCGTCACGTCAATAGAAAAACAGAATGCTATCCCACATGTTTGTTCGATAACATGTCGGGGAAAAAAGAAGAAAGATTCATTCTTGTCAACCTCTATGTCCGCCATTTATTTGTTCTGTCCTTATATTCCACATTCCTATTTCTCATCTCCCATCTCTATCAGCCTCCCTATCGCTGTTAAACCTCTTCTTTCTCTTCCATATCTTTTCCTCCTGCTCTCTTCCTCTCCCAGCACCTGGCTGTGACTAGAGACTACAGCACTGAGTGTATGCGGCGCTACAGCTGGACCCCGGACACCGTGGACCACAGCCACAACACTGTGTCCAGCCCCATTCACTCTGGGTAAGAACAGCTGCACTGCCTCCGTCCATACATCACGATATGTCTACCTGCATTCGCACACATGCACTACAAACTAGGGCTGTCCTCATACTAACGGCCCGTCCACACACAGGCATGAAAAAAATCTTGAAGCTGGGCGTGTCTGAAGCTTGGCGATTTTTTTGCGAGCAACGCGACCAACAACCAATCACATGAATCTCCCGCCCCGACATACAAAGCAATAGCAATTTTAAAACGAAGCAAACTGGATATAAACTCCCCAAACAGGCGAAAAACCTACCAGTTTCACCCACTGTCTCTGCCACCTCCCTCCATGCCTGGTTCCTCCGGTTTGTATCCCGGTAAATAGTTCTGGTCGTAAAGAACCGGGTGATTTGCTACCGTAATATCTCGTTTGGAATATGAGGAAATTAACTGCGGTCTGGTTCTCCCAGCTTGCACGCGGTTTGATTGGCTAGCGCTTGCACTGGCGGGATTTGCATAAATTGGATTTGATTGGCTGATGCCAAGCATCGAGCCTCAAAAGTTGAACATTGTTCAACTTTTGATGCCGATAGATGCTCGTGATGCTTGCAAAGCCATGCCATGCTCCCCACAATGCAGTTCGGCGAAGATTAAAAATCTTCTACGTCACCCCATTCAAGTGAATGGGCGAAGCGTTGAAAGCATTTTTTGATGCCTGTAGTGTAGACGGGCCGTAAGAGTTGCAGCGGACCTGCAGGTTTCTGGGAGTTTGTTCCAGATATTTGGAGCATAATAACTGAACGCTGCTTTACCATGTTTAGTTCTGACTCTGGGGACAGAAAGCTGATCAGTCCCTGAAGACCTGAGAGATCTGGATGGTTCATAATTTAGCAGGAGGTCAGAAATGCATTTTGGTCCTAAACCATTCAGTGCTTTATAAACAGCAGCAGTATTTTGAAATCTATTCTTTGACACACATGAAGCCAGTGTAAAGACTTCAGAACTGGAGCGATGTGATCCACTTTCTTAGTGTTGGTAAGGACTCGAGCAGCGGTGTTCTGAATCAGCTGCAGCTTTCTAATAGATTTTTTAGTGAGACCTGTGAAGACACCATTGCAGTAGTCCAGTCTACTGAAGATAAAAGCATGGACACGTTTTTCCAAATCCTGCTGTGACCTTAGTCTTTTAATCCTAGATATGTTCTTTAGGTGATAGTAAGCTGATTTAGTAACTGTTTTAATGTGGCTGTTGAAACCAATAACTAATTTAACCCGCTGACAAGAGAGCCCACCTCCGAAGATCGTGACTGGCTGAGGGATAGACTCGGGGGCAGGTTTTCAGGAATTTCTTGGCTTCTCTCCCCCGAGCCAGAAGGGGAACACTACAGCTTGGAAACACTTACGGCCCGTCCACAATACAGCTTCGACAGCTTCAAAAACGGTTTCCAACGCATCTGCCCATTCACTTTGAACGGGGTGACGTCACGTTGCCTCGTTTTTCGCCGAACTGAATTGTGGGTAGCATAGCGGAGCTTTCCTGGCGTTTCAGGCTGCAAAAGTTGAGCAATGTTCAACTTTTGAAGCTTCTGAAGCTTTCGGTGGAAGCGTCAGCCAATCAAATCATATGCCAGTACAAGCTCTAGC